CAAAACTGGATGCAGTACTCTAGGTGTGGTCTTACTAAGGCTTTATAGAGTGATGTTAGTACCCCACTTGATCTTGATTGTATCCCTCTGTTAATGCAATTTAGGATTGCATTGGCTTTTTTGGTTGCTCCTACACACTGCTGGCTCATATTTAGCTGGTTGTCCACTAAGACTCCAAGATCCCTCTCACAGTTACTGCTATTAAGCCTGGTTTCACCCCAGTCTACATGTGTACTTTTGGTTTTTCTTGCCTAAGTGTAAGACCTCACTTTTCTCTACACTGAATTTCATTTTGTTAGATAGGGCCTAGGGTTCAAGTCTGTCAACCTCTTACCTCCAACAATTTGGGTCCTCGTTTTACAGACCTCAGAAGGGTGGAAGGCTGAGTCAACCTTGAGCTGATTAGGATCAAAATGCTGAACTGCTGGCAGCCGACAGTCAGTGGAAGTAGCCTGCAATATTTGCAATACTGCACCACCACAGCTCCTGAATACAAATTATTTTCCTCGGTGTGTTGAGTACAGAGAGGAAAGCATCTTTTGGGGTTGTAGAAATGGGTGCCTCCAACTTTGGAAGTGGCAACTCACAGCATTGACTTTAAGTCGGGTGAACAAGGGGTCCTTGCTGCTCTCTAAGCTTGGTAGGTTTTTTTTGCAGATGTTTCGTGACCCAACTAGGGAATATCATCAGTGCTAGAAGGGTTTGGGGAGAGGAGGGAGAAGAAGAGGAGGAGGAGAAGGAGGAGTGAGAGGTCCTTGGTGCTCTCTGAGCCTGGTGGTTTTCTTGCAGACGTTTCATGACCCAGCTAGGGAACATCATCAGTGCTAGAAGGGAATGTGCTTTTGGAGTGAAGCAGGAGGAGGAGGAAGAGAAAGAGAGTGGAAGAGGAGGAAGGGGAGAAAGATGGAGATGGGAAGGGGGAGGAAGAAGACTGTGCGGTCCTTGGAGCTCTCTGAGCTTGGTTGCTTTCTTGCAGACATTAAATGAACCAAATAGGGAATATCATCAGTGCTAGATGGGAAGAAGAGGAGGAGGAGGAGGAGAACTGGAAGATCTTTGGTGCTCTCTGAGCTTGGTTGCTTTCTTGCAGATGTTTCATGACCCAACTAGGGAACATCGTGCTAGAAGGGAGTGGAGAAGAGGAGGAGGAGGAAGACTGATGGATCCTTGGTGCTCCCTGAGCTTGGTTGTTTTCTTGCCGATGTTTCATGACCCAAACTAGGTGACATCATCAGTGCTCCTGATGATGTTACTTAGTTTGTTACCTAGCACTGATGATGTTACATAGTTGGGTCATGAGCACCAAGGATCCATCAGTCTTTCTCCTTTTCCTCCTCTTCCTCCTCTTTCTCCCCCCCCCCCCCTTTCACTCCACAAACCTCCCTCCCTTCTAGCACTGATGATGTTCCCTAGTTTGGTAATGTCTGCAAAAAAACTACCAAGTTCAAAGAGCACCAAGGACTCTTCAAGAATGAGTTAACATAGGTCCACTTTTGGGAACCTCTTGTGAAAGGAGAACCAATGCTGGTTTGGAAAGAGATGTGAATCGGAAAGCAAGCGATCCATCATGGCTTAGATCCAATCTAGAGAAACGTCCTTGCTGGAGAAACGGGGCACGAAACTCAGAACTCTTTTTTTTTTCTAAGACATTCTCCAAGGCTTCCCACAAGGCTGGCAATCAGCAGAAGATCTGATGAAACCAGCTCGGATGATGTCACTTGGGGGGGAAGAAGAGGGCTGTGGTTGTATGTAGAGAGAAGGGAACCAGATGCGAAGTCTCAGCCTTGGCAAGTGGGCAGCGTGGCTGCAGGGCATCCTGTGTTGGGGTGGCCCCTTGGCAAGCCTACAAAGCGACTAGTGTCTGGTGAGGTTAGAGTTGACCAATGGGACTCTACACCACAAGAACTTGGCAAAGGAGAGGGGAATTAGAAATAAATCTGGAAGCAGGTTCAGACAGGAGATGTTGGTTTGGGATTAGTCAACGGCGTTTGGGGGTGGGCAGAAGGGGTGACCGTCACCAGGAGGTTTTGGACCTTGGTAAAAATTATTCAGTCCCTTTTGGCCAGGAGGAAAAACCTGTGTAGGCTGTGAAAGCGGTGGCCATTTTGTTAATCAGACAGAAAAAGAAATATTCGTGATGAAGACGAAAGGGGTTTTTTTTAAACTCTTTGATGCAAAGTTTTGGATCACACAGAATTCTTCTTTAACATTAGGTGATGTTTCTCAGCCGTAGCAATTTAAAGATGTCTGGGCTTTAACTCCCTGACAAGTTAACTTCCCAATGTGAAGAAATAATGGGTTAGGTTTTATCCCCTTTGTCTGTGTCTAATCGGTATCTCCATTTTGTGCTCTCTTTCTCTCTTCCTCTCCCTCTCCCTCTCCATTTTGCTGTCTATCTCTCTCCATTTCTTTATCTCTGCCTATCTATCATCTGTCTGTCTATCCATCCATCCATCCATCCATCCATCCATCCAGTTTGCTTATCTATATGTCTCTATTTTGCTCTGTTTGTATCCTTCCTTCCTTCCTTCCTTCCTTCCTTCCTTCCTTCCTTCCTTCCTTCCTTCCTCTCCTATTCCTCTCCTCTCCTACCCTATCTGTCCATCTATCTATTCATCCATCCATCCATTCATCCACCTACCTACCCACCCACCTACCTATCTACCTATCAACCCATCTATCCACCTCTCTCTCTCCATTTTGCTCTCTGTCTATCTCTGTCTGTCTGTCACTTTGGCTATCTTCATTTTGCCGTCTGTCTGTCTATCTACATTTTGCTTATTTATCTCTATCTCTATTTTGCTATTTGTCTATTTCCATTTTGCTATCCCCCTCACTCTCTCCATCCATCCATCCATCCATTCATCCATCAATCTATCTCCATTTTGCTATTTGTCTATGCCTCTCTCTAGCTATCTTCATTTTGCTGTCTGTCTGTCAGCCAGAACAGGCAATTGCAGACAACGTATACCACTTTTCCTTTAAAAATAGCACTGGCTTTTAGACTTTTATACCGCTGCACAGTGCTTTACAGACCTCTCTAAGCGGTTTACAGAGTCAGCTTCTTGCCCCCAACAATCTGGGTCCTCATTGTACCCACCTCGGAAGGAAGGATGGAAGGCTGAGTCAACCTTCAACCGGTCAGGATCAAACTGCAGGTTGTAGGTTTACACCTAGTAGTTTGGAAAAGCTTCATTCAGGACTTTACTCTGTGGTTATGTGTCTGTTTAGAAATTGGTTAGGTCATTAGTTATTTGTGGTTCTATTTGTGTCCATGGTACTTTAGGAGGAATGAGTGGTGTCGGTCCCTTGCAGGCTTTGCAGTTTAGAAATAGACACAGAACCAGACAAAGAGTTCAGAGAAGAATAGAGATGTTGCTACGTTTACAGTTTCTGGCATTTCAGGCCAGAAATTTTCCAGGGTCAGAGAAAGACAAAACCTGAAATTGGAATTAAGAGATGCAGAAACAAGACCGAGAATTCTTGAGGGTGGTATACAATCAATGGAATTTATCCAGTAGAAATTATGCATTTTTTTCCATTGCTCTGTTCTTGAACAAATTTTCTTGGCAACAATATGGAAGTGATTCTTTTCTTTTCTTTTTCCTCTCTTCTTCTTCTTCTTCTTCTTCTTCTTCTTCTTCTTCTTCTTCTTCTTCTTCTTCTTCTTCTTCTTCTTCTTCTTCTTCTTCTTCTTCTTCTTCTTCTTCTTCTTCTTCTTCTTTTTCCTCCTCCTCCTCCTCTTCTTCCTCTT